CTAGGCTTCAATTTAGACACACTACGTAGTGCACCTCCCTTTCGCCCCTTTCTTGTTCAAAAACATAAAAAAACAAAACCAGTTCATTAGTAACCACACCATAAGAACCAATAATTAGAAAAATTAATCAAGTGAAATACCTTCACAGCCTTGGAACAACCATCATTAGCAGCAACACTTTCATCACTCAACAATATGAATTTCTCAACTTGCGACGCTTTAGGCTGCTTGCAAGGAGACTTTTTCACAACTTTCACAGAAGGAGATTCAGAACATCTCTCATCTCCAATTTCCCCCTCAGCTTCTCCCGAATTCTCAACTTTGGCAGTCTTGACAAATTCCAAGGTAGGAGAAATGGGTTCCCTAGGTTTTTCAACCTCACCCTTCTGATCGTTCTTTTTCAACTCAGCTGTAGGAGAAATGGGTTCCCTAGGCTGCTCCCTTGACAACGGATCACCTACAGTTGCTTTCACTGCCTCTATAAGGGACTTCACTGCAGTACCGATTTCGTCTCTAAAAGCCCGAAATTCGTTCTCCATTTTCACAACCCGGCTCATTAGCTCATTATCTCTAGAAGCAGCATCACCCATTGCCACTCTAAATTCTTGACCAAAGTTGTCAATTCTACCCTCCATGGTACTAAACCGAGCATCAATACGCTCATAGAGAAGTAGCTCATCCCCGTCGGGTTTGTGCCGTTTCCCATCTACTTCTCCCCGTTTCCTTGGAGGTGATTTCAAACCGGCATCCTCAGCTGATCTTTTCCCCGAACTGCTGGAAACCTATAAATTAATTAAAAAGGGAACCAAATGTACCATTAGCATGCTCCAACTTGTCAAAAGAATCAAATATACTATCAATCTTACCACTTTTGTTAACAATAACTCCACGTCTCCGCTCCCCCAACTCATCAAATCCAAACTCCCATCAACGGTTTGGAAAATACCATTTGCATGCTCCAAGAATATTAACTACAAAAAAAAATACTATAATCAACATGATGATTAATCATTACAAATATGTAGAAAGTCGGGATTAACAATTATTTACCTCCAAAAACAGCAAGCAACCCGGTATATACTCTCTTTTAGAAGCATTATGGTCGCAGATGCATTTGACCAATTCATTGAAGCAAAAGGATGCCCAATTCTTCTTCGGAATGTCTGCAACATCGGTGACAGCGTATACCGAAGACAAGGAAATGTCCTCTCTTCTAGTTGGTACTAATAGCACCCCCATTACGTACAAAATAAACATTTGAAGAAATAGATCGTCGCTATCTTTCATCTTCGACAACTCCTTCTTCATTAAGCTTGTGGAAATCGCCTGTCGGCCACATTCACGTGTCGAAAACACTCTAAATGGTTCCAGTTCCTCTGATCTTCCCTCCACTTCTTCACCATTCAAGATGATATCAGTACCTCCCTCAGGCACACCCATAATTCGCTCGAAATCTTTGGCCGAAATATGCACTTCCAACCCATACGCCTTAATTGTGCTTTCTTCCAGATTAAAGCTCTTCACAAGTTTCTCCAACAACTCACGTTGTAGCTTTCTTGCTTTGACATCAAGAATACGACCAAAGCCACATCTCCTAATGGCCTCTGATTGACAAGCCTCTAAATTTGAGACTACTGAGAATACTTTCCTAGGAGAACATCGCGTGCTGAAAATTTGATGCCTCTTCGTCTTCATTATAGAACAACTTTAGCAAACTGCAAAATTAAAACAACAGATAAATTATAAGCATGCCTTGAAACACGAATTATAAGCATGCCGAAGAGTACAAACAAAATACAAGTTCTAACTACCAGAAGAACTGAAAACCCCCTACATCAACACCTGAGTACACTAATTAACCATGAAAACACCCAGCTTTCATTAATTTTCACCCAAAATGCAAAATCTCACGGCCGTGACATGACCCGTGAGAAGCAAAGAGAAGTTTGCATATATCCAGACAATCTCCAGACAATCACACGGCTTATTCTCACGGCCGTGAGAATTTACAAAGGGGCCGTGAGAATTTACAAAGGGGCCCGTGATAATTTACTAAGGGGCCGTGAGAATTTACAAAGGGGCCCGTGAGAATTTACAAAGGGGCCGTGAGAATTTACAAAGGGGCCCGTGATAATTTACAAAGGGGACCGTGATAATTTACAAAGGGGCCCGTGAGAATTTACAAAGGGGCCCGTGAGAATTAACAATGGGGCCGTGAGATGCCCATCATCCATATCCAAAACACGGCTCATCTCACGGCCGTGACACTGTCGAAGGCAACCCGTGAAAACCTCTGGGAAACTGAGAAGTGTGTTTTTACATACACGGTCTCTCTCACGGCCTATCTCATAGCCGTGATATTTCCAGAATTACATCCACGGTCTCTCTCACAGCCGTGATATTTCCAGAAACCACACACAACTTACAACTTTTGAGAGCTAAATAACATGACCACGAGCATAGCCACTAAGCTTTCCATAACCCATGACACCACCATAAACACTCGCTCTATTTCCATCCAAACTGGCTAAAACTGAAGTCACCCTGATTTCATGAAATAGTTCTTGACTAACACACTCAATTGCACCTTTCATGCAGCCAAGCAAGACCCTTCAATTAACAGTCCAAAATGTAATCAACAAGCAACGGTAACGACACTACAAACCCTGAAAATAACTCGAACTCTAGTGGGATGTGGGAGATAAAAATTGACTATTAAGTAAACTCTACAAACCCATTCCTTACATCCCTAAAACCCAATCAAGACCAAAGAACTAAAGAAGCAAGCAGAACAACCCCAGCACAGTTATTCTCTTCAGTTTGAAAGCAAAGGCAACAACGAAATGAACAATACAAAATGAGATCGAGGCACGGAATGTACAATAAAGAATAAAACTGGGAGTAACTCCCAAGCTGCCGTATATTCTAAGGCCAACAGACCTCCTGTATTTGCATATCGATCAGCCACAACCATGCTCTAAATATCCTAACTAAGTTTGACCTTAATGTCTCATCATTCATGGAAGCTCTTTTACCCACTGCACTAAACTTCTTTTCTACATTATATACACAATTCTAACTCCACATACAGTCCCTTCGGATACATCCGATAACTCCACAAACAGAAAACTCATACTATGAAGTGAACAGTTAAGATAAGCACCCATTTCTGTTGGTTAATCGCATGCTTGGAGCCACTAACCATAGCAAAGAGAGTTAAATCAATCAAACAAATCATGGTTTTCAAACTTAACTACATTCATCAATTGGCTAAACAGAGAAAAATTCCCAACTTTCTCAGTGAACACGGCCTTTCTATCTACCATATCATATCATATCAATCCTCCCACGAAGAAGATGGAAGAACTACAACAACAACATCCATCCAAAGCTTCCTCACCAAAGGAAGCATCATCAACAACCACAACCGCAACCACAACAACAACAACCACAACTGCTGTGAATTCTTCAGACTCGAATTCTTCTACCCTAACAACAGAAGAACCCAATGCTCCTCCTCAACAGAAGAAGATTGAGGAACAACAACAACAACAACAAGAGCCTGCTAAGGATGTTGCTGAAACGGAGACAAATCAAGCACAACCTCAACAGCAAAAACAAGGTGAAGAGAAGGTAAATGCTGCAAATTCTCCTTCAAAACAAGTGAAGGAACAACAGGAACCGCCATTGCAGCTAATTATCAAGCTAAACACAAAGAAGATAGTACTAACCGAAAAAAGTTGCGGTGGAGGAGGTAGGTCAGCGGTCTTCGTTTGCTATCGATGGGAAGAGGGGTTTTGTGCAGAGTCTTCGTTAGCTATCGATGGGAAGAGGGTCTTCGTTTGCAATCGACGAAGAGATGCTCGCTCTCGTCGTCCCTTGCTCGCCGCCTTCACTGTCGTCGTCGGAATCTGGAATCCGAATCGCCGCCTTCACTGCCGCCTTCTACTCGTCGTCACCCACTGCTCGCCGTCTTCACTGTCGCCGTCTTCACTGCTCGCTAGCTGCGTGGAGAGGATCGAAGGAAGGAAGAGGATCGAAGGAAGAAGGGTTTCGGCGGTGAGAAGAATGGTTTCGAAGGAAGATAGTGTTTGTCTCAATTGGTTTCAGACAACCGGTTGTACCGGTTATCACACACAAATAAAATAATAATTTAATAATTTAAATAAAATCTAATGGTTGATATAGTTTGAACATGATCTAATGGCTGTAAATGTTTTATAGTACCAATACTATAAAGCACACTAAAATGCCTCTACTGCAAGTACCAGTCTGGTTTCATGAATTGCCAAATTATCATTCTCTTCTCCACTCTAGGTGTTCCAGATCATATTTTTGAAAAGAAGCAGAAAGAAGCTGTAAATAAACTTAATGCAATCTTAACTGACCCATCAGCAGCATTGGAGGCTTTGGAGTTGATGCGTTTTGGAGATACGTCCCAGCGTTCTGAAGGAAATGCTATTGTGTGGTTATAAGCCTGACAATGAACCTTCTCTTTCCATGATGCTCCAAACTTTCAGGGAATCTAAGTTGCTTGATTTATGAACAAAAACAAGTGTGTTTCTTCCAAAAGCAAGATCGATGATGGAATATCTTGACAAAACAAGAACCTTGGGGTATAGTCAGGTCTTTGTGCAGTTTTCGGACTCTGGGAAACGGGCAGTTTAGCTCAAGCGGTCTAGCCAAACGTTTTGTGCCAAGGGGCACATAGTGGTGGCTAAAAATCCATGCTTGCACCCAAGTGATGTGCGTGTGTTAAGGGCTGTCGATGTGCCTGCATTGCAGCATATGGTGGATTGTGTTGTTTTTACCACAAAAAGGACCCAGGTAAGTCTCTTTTTGCATGTACCTAAATTGCACCTTAGAGAGAATAACTATTTGGTAGAGTCTGACCAAAAGATTTGTATTTAGCCCTGAAATGACGTGCTTTCTATTGTTGTAGGAAGTTGAGTATTTAAGCAATTACATCGTGAATGACAGCAATCATTGCGAATGCTCACATGGTCTTTGCTGATAAGGAACCTCTGAAAGCCATGAGCAAACCCTGGGTAGAGCTAGCACATCAGTTTTCATTTGCTGTCAACTTCAACAAAACCGGAGTTCCAGCCGTGATACCTCCTCATCTCCATGTCACAGAGTATCCGGACTTCATGGAAAAGCCAGACAAACCCACATACCAATCCCACAACGTCATTGGGAAGCTTTTTTCGAGAAGTGAAAGACACTGTCCTGCACACCAGCTGTGTCAAGTCCTTTACAAGTGGCACGCCAGTTTTATGACCCTGATTTGGAAGTGGACGGGTATGAAGCTTACTTGCCCGACGCCTTCTACTTTAAGTGCAATTACTACAAGTTGGGAAACCAGATGAACTACTATGGGATCAAAACAGAGGCCGAAATACTGGAGTGGGAATATCATGAAGGAAGCAATTATAGTGAAGGGGGTAATGGCCTTGAAGAAAGAGGCCAGGTTGTGGTTCAATGAGAAAGGAAGCAATTTGGATTCTGAAGATGATGATGTATATGCCCAAGCCTCGGGTTGTTACCATGTTACTTATCATCCAAGTTACCGGGAGTCTACAACGAGGGAATGAACCGCACTCATTTCTTAAGCTTGTGTTTGACAAGCTGATCCATATCAAGTAAAAGAAGGTAGCTAGAAGGACGGTGTTGGAAAAGTCTGGATAGAAGATATCTCATGTTTTGCTCAGCCTTTGGATGTCATCACATCAGGAATTTCAGGTATGTAAATATATGCACTCTGCTTATCTAATCGTTTTTCGAACTGTTTGATCACTATCCAGCTTATTTGAATTCTCTTGGAAGTAGTTGTGGCAGTAACCCATCTGGAAATTGAGGTAGAGTAACTGAACTTGAAATGAACTTGAATTGAGGATACCATGTCTGCAATTCTTATCATCCATGGCTTGCTGGTCTTGATGTGCTCTGCCGAGGTATATAACGCCCCAGCGGTAAGGGCCCTAACAGCAAAGCCGCGACACAATTCAGAAACTATAAGTAATCAATCTGGGTTCAAATGCTACGAAATCGAAAAGGAAGCGTGAAGCACAGCAGAGGAGATGATTAGGAGCTTGTGTTTGCTCATAAGAACAGGTGAGAAGAACAACGCAAAACAAAAGAACTGGAAGCGAGAAGAAGCTGCTTACGATGAGGATGACTTGGTGGTGGGGGATGAGTGGATTGGAAGCCGGAAGACTGAATTAACAGAGCAGCGAACAATGTAACAATGGATAGTAAGATGTTTCTCAAACCAGTGGCCATTATTTCAGTTCTCGACTCTGCTGCAACCATATACCCTGTTGGGTTTTTTTCTACATTAATAAATAGATGTGGCTTCTGGATGTTTAAAAACGTTTGGGGTCACAAGTTGGTCCCTAGGTTTTGAGATAATTCGGACTATGGTCCTTGTACTTCCTAAACTGTACATTCTCATACTGTCAGATTTATTTTTATTTTAATGAAATTGATACGGTTCATTCCAGCCCAGGAGTAGGAAGAATCTTTCAAGACTTGTCTCTGAAGAATTTGATGACGCAGAATTGGAACAACATACGAACACGAGATTTTACGTGGTATCCTCGATCGATTGATTGATCGAGACTAATCCACGGTGAGCTCGGAACGAGCTCACGACTGACGTTTTATTACGTGAGGACTACATTGTGACGGCTTGCTTACGACAATCTCGTAGCTAAGCTTATATAGAGATAGACGTAGGGTTAAAACCCTAATGACAACCAAGTTTCCTTCTTTGACAAGGACAAGGAAACAAGGGACTTGGAGGACAAGGAATTAATTATTTTTGACTAAATAATTAATATCCTCAATACTCCCCCTCAAGCGAAGACATGAGTGACAAGAATGTTGAGCTTGAAAAAGGAAATGTGACGAACAAGCATGACAAGCTTGAACAACAAAACTCGAGATGAACAACATCTCGGACGAGGCTGATTTGGAGACGACTGACTCTCTCCCTTGAACAACCTGATGAAGATGGTTGACTGCATCTTCTTGAACGTCGTGACGAGACGGTTGACTGCGTCTCTTGAACGACCTGACGGAGACGGTTGACTGCGCCTCTTGAATGACTTGACGGAGACGATTGACTACGTCTATCCGTATGATATGGTGGAGATGGTTGACTGCAGACCTGAGATGGTGGATTTGACACGTCGGGACGGACGACCTCTGGAAGCTTCGAGGGGCGATGGGCCGTGCCTGACCGGCGGGGCGACGATCCGGAGCTGCCGACGATGATTGGCGGGCCTATCGACAAACCAATTCGCGGACGAAGACTGGAAGCTTGATGAGTGTTGAACCACGCATCTTTTGAATTCCAAGTGACCTTGACGAAGACACCCGGTGGACAAGACTTCTAAGCGGACAACGCCCGCGAGAGGAAGAAGCTCCGCCGTGCAGGAGGCAAGGCGTCAGACTGATCACGTCGATGCTGTCGGGGAGAGACAATTGATGTCCAACGTATGGTGATTGCGGAAGAAGACTGCGGAAGATCAAACACAAAACCCTAGTAGATCGAGGTTTGCTCTGATACCATGAAGAATTTGATGACGCAGAATTGGAACAACATACGAACACGAGATTTTACGTGGTATCCTCGATCGATTGATTGATCGAGACTAATCCACGGTGAGCTCGGAACGAGCTCACGACTGACGACATATTGAGGATATTAATTATTTAGTCAAAAATAATTAATTCCTTGTCCTCCAAGTCCCTTGTTTCCTTGTCCTTGTCAAAGAAGGAAACTTGGTTGTCATTAGGGTTTTAACCCTACGTCTATCTCTATATAAGCTTAGCTACGAGATTGTCGTAAGCAAGCCGTCACAATGTAGTCCTCACGTAATAAAACGTCAGTCGTGAGCTCGTTCCGAGCTCACCGTGGATTAGTCTCGATCAATCAATCGATCGAGGATACCACGTAAAATCTCGTGTTCGTATGTTGTTCCAATTCTGCGTCATCAAATTCTTCAGTCTCTCTGCAAAATTACCATCGAAATGTGTGGGGAACATGAGGTTCCATTAATTAAGGAATCTGATGTGTGCTTTAACATAAGGTAGAAGGCGATTTTACACAAAATGGAATGCAGTGATAGTTTTATAATAAGTAAGAAAGGAAGTTTATTGTGGTTGCATGGGCTAGTCTTCGTAAAAGAACAACCTGCTAGCTAGAGTATTTATTATGATTAGTTGCTGCTCCTTTACTTAGACGTGGCAATTAGTATCAAAATTCATAAATACAATCTACTAAAATATTCAACTAATTCAATTTATTTGCCATCTCTATATATGTACGGTGTGGTAGGGATGGCAATTACATTTTCATGGTTAAATGACTTAAATCCATTGATTATGGATAGGTATGAATGAAGTCTATACATGGATCTGGGTATTTGTTGGGTAGATTTGGACAGGATATTAGTATTGCTTTCCTATTCTATTTAATTAGGTACAAGTTGGGTATGAGTTTACCTATTTACTTGAGATTGTTTTAATTACACATACAAAAATGGACCTGTTTGTAAAACCTAAAAAGTTCGGGTATAAAATGTAAGGAAGTAAAATTTTAGATACTAAAACAGAAGGTTTCATCATTATTTTAGGAATTTATATGAAAAATACTTTCAAATTTAGTTACTGAATTGTAATTTTTTTTTCCAAGTCAGAGTATTAATCAAAAGTCACAAACCGGAAGAAAGAAAAGCGCGGGAGTCGACCAATAGTCGAACTCCCAATGAGAGGGCCTTTTGTGCCACATGATGGGCAGCCCTATTAAGGTGGTGGGACACAAAACAGAAGGAAACACTATGAAACGAAGATGCCAAGCTCCGGATGTCCTTCAAAATAGCGCCACCCCGAACATGTTGCACATCCCCTCCAATCATCCGGCGGATCAAGAGTTGAGAGTCCCCATGAAAACAAACAGCAAGAAAGGAATGAGTTAGACACCACTGCACATCATCCCGTATAGCTAAACATTCCATGAGAAAAGGGTCCTGAATCTCATCATAAAATTTTTCAAAGGCAAACAGAACAGTACCTGTCGTATGGAAGCCGACAAATCCAATACTACCTCCTTGGCCACTCTTGGTAGCACCATCAAACCAGACATTGATAGAAGTAGAGGAACCAGGAGTCGTATGGGTGACTCTGGGAACACGTGAGGGCTCTGGAGCTGCAGAAACAGTACCACCGGGACTAAATGTGAGTAGATTTAAACCATCAAAACTATACTCATTTACCTTGTATCTAAATTTCGTAATTAACCAACCGATGGACTTGGATAAGTAAATACCGAAGAATTGGGGAAATATTGCAATTGTATATAGCTGATTGAACCACATAATAACATAATTGGATGTATCGCTTTCTAGCTGATTGATCCAAAATCATTTCATCGCCTAGTTTTTGGCCGTTCATTCCTACGTGTTTCCATTGATTTTTTCTTCTCTGAACAAATAGACATGCAATTCTCTTAAGTAGTGTTGTCGGGCATGCGTGATGTCAAGACATATGTCCTACAAACTAAATGACTCACAAATGTCAGTATGTGGGAAGGCAAAGCACTTCTTCCTAGTCACTATCGAATTAATTAACGTACTTAGGGTGCAAGTTAGTTGGTCGATTTCTTTTTTTGGGGTTTAGCTGACATTAACTACTAGAGATTGCTTTCCTTTCAAAGACATCATGGACATGGAGATGAGATCCCAAATATGGAGCACTGTTTTTATCATTCTTGATGGGAAAGCGGAGGCATTTTTTAGTGTGCTTTATAGTATTGGTGCTATAAAACATTTACAGCCATTATATTATGTTCAAACTATATCAACCATTAGATTTTATTTAAATTATTAATGTTATTTTATTTGTGTGTGGACAACCGGTACAACCGGTTGTCTGAAATTTTTTTACGAATTCACCACGCAACCGGTACAACCAGTTCACCACGCAACCTTCTTCTCACCTCTTCTCACCGCCGAAACCATTCTTCCTTCGATCCTCTTCCTTCGATCCTCTCCACGCAGCTAGCGAGCCAGATTCTGACGACGACAGTGAAGACGGCGAGCAGTGGGTGACGACGAGTAGAAGAAGCTTGTCGATTGCAGCATCTCTTTGACTGCGGCGAGCCGGATTCCGACGACGACAGTGAAGGCGGCGAGCAGGGGACGACTTGCAAACGAAGACCCTCTTCCCATCGATAGCAAACGAAGACCGTGCACAGAACCCCCTCTTCCCATCGATAGCAAACGAAGACCGCTGACCTACCTCCTCCACCGCAACTTTTTCCAGTTAGCATGCCTACAGTTCTACAATTTTATTCAATTTTCCGGTTAGTATGGCTATCAGTTTAGGGATTATATTGGGATGTTCTAGATTTACAAATTTCGGTAGGGGGATTGAAATTCCATGCTCGTTTTACCAGATTGAACTATGGATTGGTTGTTTAGGAACTTGACGAGCTGAAGAAGAATCAGTTTAGTTGTCTGCTGTAGGCGAAGAATCAGTTTAGTCATCTGGATTAAGTTGTATAGCATACTGAAGACGATGAGATAGG